GGCTCAGGCACAGGGGCAGGAGATGCTCTCTCCAAGGTGTTAGTTCTCAAACATGGTTGCATATTGTAATCACCTGGGGATTTTTTTTTTAAGATTTTATTCATGAGAGAGAGAGAGAGAGAGGGAGGCAGAGACACAGGCAGAGGGAGAAGCAGGCTCCATGCAAGGAGCCAATGTGGTACTCAATCCTGGGTCTCCAGGATCAGGCCTTGGGCTGAAGGCGGCACTAAACCACTGAGCCACCGGGGCTGCCCTCACCTGGGGAATTTTAACAAATATTTATGCCTGGATTCCACCTCCTAAAACTTTAATTTAATTGATATGGAGTGGACATCAGGATGTTTAAAGTGCCCCATAGGATTCAAATATGTAACAAAGTTTGAGAACCACTAGCTCTACAATATGAAACTATCCCCAGATATATTACTGGGCAGAAAAAGTCATCTTCACCTGCCTTTCCTCAAAGATCATATTTCCTAAAACTTGAAGCACAAATGAGGCTAGCTCCCAGCCTCTTCCTTCTGGATTCCCCTAATCCAAAGCTGGGTTCAGGGCATCATTAGAGTCTGATCATTATTATGGAATATTCTACTTATAATAAAATTATCTAATTAATTAAAACAAAATTTCCTTGTTTACACTTGAATTAGAGAGGTATAGCATAATGGAAAGGGCTGGATTTTAGAGGCAGAGAGACTTGGATTCCAATCATAGCTCTGCCCCTGTTTTGTATGATCTTTGCCAGGGGCAACTTCTTGGAGCCTCAGTCTCCCCAGCTATCAAATGGGGATAATGCTTGCCTCGTAGAGGTAATTTGATGATTCAATGAGATAACATGCATAAAGGTCTGGCGCAGGGAGTGGTGTTAAGAGAATAATTTGTCCCATGCCTCCTAGGGACCAAAGTGCTCACTCTTATGACAGGTGGATTGAACACCTTGGACCTTTCAGAGCTTCTCTCCCAGGCTTATAGGTCCCCAGGAGAACCTCTGGTACCTGTGACTTCTTCATTCAGGAAGCAAAAGCCCCATTTCCCCTAGGGATGATCGTGTGTGACCTTTGGGTCCTGGATCTACATTGCTCAGAACTGGTATTCCTGTGTATGAAATAAAAACTTAAGGCTATTACTTGAATAATCCAAATACAAAAAAAGTATCTAAATATTTTATATAACATGTGACTTGAATATGTATTAATAACTAGGTATTAAATATTAAATGTTAAGTATTATAAGCATATGTTTGGTTATTTTGTATATACATCTGCAGCCCTATGGGTTCATATATTTCAGTTGTCTAAAATAAAACTTTGGGTGTGCCTGGGTGCCTTAGTCAGTTGAGTGTCTGACTCTTGTTCTCAGCTCAGGTCTTGATCTTGAGGTTGTGAGTTCAAGCCTGGCATTGGGCTCCATACTGGGCGTGGAGTCTACTAAAAAGCAAAAAAATAAATAAAATGAAACTTTGTTTTGGTTTTCACATTGAAGAATGGGGGAACCCTCTTGGAATAGAAGTTCAAGGTTGACACAGCTTGATTTGGGCTAGGGACCTTCTGAGTGAAGATGAGAATTTCTGGACAAAGATGTTGTGACCCAAGGCACCTGGGTAGTGCAGTCAGTTAAGCATCCTACTCTTGGTTTCTGCATAGGTCATGATCTCAGGACCGTGAGATTGAGCACCGCATCAGGCTCCATGCTCAGCATGGTGTCTACTTGAGACTCTCTCTCCTTTCTCTGTCTCTTCCGCTTGTACACTCTTTTTCACTCACTCTCTCTCTCTCTAATAAATAAATCTTAAAAACAAAAACCTATCTTGTGACCCAAAGAGGGCACATGTCTTCTGTGTCCGCTCTGCACCCCACGGCCTCCCTCAGACCTGCTTGTGGGATTGCTGAGGTTTTCCATTTCTGTTGTCTGCCACAGCACCCCTTCTTCAGATGGGATGAGTTTTTAGATGGAGACCTCCTCTAGGCCATAAGGCTGTCCCCTAACTTGCTGGCAAAGGTGAGAGAGGCAAGTTACTGGCTATCTGCCCTATCCAGTCTTGATCAGGGGAATATTTCTGAAGCTTGGGTGCAGGAGGCAGAGGAAGAGGGTTGGATAATTCACACTTCCCTACTATTCCTTATTTCCCTCATTTTAAGGATCTAGAAAATAAGGTTCATAGGGAAGGGGTCACTTATCTAAGGTTACACAGATAGTGCCATCCCTGGGCCTGGAACCCACATTTCCCAATTCACAGCCTTTCCCAAGCACCACACCTCTGCTCTGGATCATACCTGATTCTTTTATCATCCTTTATCATTTTTTTCTCATCACACTGAAAACTTCCAGGTGACTTCTTACTACTGTTCAGTGGCTGTGAGTGCAAGGAATATGCATGGGATACCCAAACCCAAAGAAATTTAATTGTCCAATCTGCTAAAAATTATGCAACATCCTTTAGTGCCAATCGTGGATTATTTTTGTATGCAGGCATATGAACAGATAGTTAAAATGCAATGTGATATTTGTCATACTAGAAGGATGTTCGGGGTGTGTTGGGACCCAGAAGAGGGAATAATTAACTCATCCTGAGGGAAATCAACCTTGCTTCTCCAAGGTAGAACATTTAAACAGGTTTGAATGGATGAATAGGAGTTGAAAAGGAGGGGAGTGAGAGAGTACATCAGGAGAGGGGACAGCACTTTCACAAACAGAGGTTCGGTATTCAGAAGACAACAGAGATATTTGCCCTGGCAAGGACACAGGGTGTGTGAGGCTGAAGGTGAGACTAAAGAGAGGTAAGGCCAGCTTGGAAGGAGATGTAAGGCTGAACACGAGAACTTTGGCATTTAAGGCCAGGAATAGTAGAGGATGTGCTATGAGGCCTTGTCTGATCTCCTCAGTTATTTTTCTTTTTTCATGATGCTAATGAGACTAATGTTTGGGCATCTGTTGCTAGGGGCTTAGAAGCCTTGTGGAAATCATTTTCAACAATTAGAGAAGCATTTCTGACCTGGGGATAGATGAGAGGGTCTCTCCAGGATGAGTGAAGTGGAAGAGAGGGACAGTCCCCTGGATGGTGACACCTGTGAAGAGCATTCTTCTTCACCTCTGGCCACTGTGTTTGACAGGCAGGAAAATATTTAGGAGATTGCAGATCCATGGCTCTGTGAAGGCTGGGGGAGGGTTTCTTCAATGGGGGACTTGGCAGGGGGAGGGAAGAAAGAGTATTGAATTATTACTTTGCATGATGTTGTGGATTTTGATTTTTCCGAGATAGATCAGTTAGCTTTTGCTGCCTTATAAGACACTCAAGACTTAGTAGTTTAAAAAAAAAAAGACTTAGTAGTTTAAAAAATTGTATTTTATTGATGATTCTATAGGTCAGCAATTTGGACTGGGACTCTCTGGGTGGTTCTTCAGGGCTTGGCTAGGCTTGGCTGGGCTTGGCTAACCTTAGCTGTGCTCACTCCTGTGAGCTGTGTTCAGCTAGGGTGTTAGCTGGGACTAACTGGTTTATGATGGCTTCTAGTGAGCCCCTGAGACAATGAGGCATCGATCTGCATGGCCTCTCATCTTCCAGCAATGTAACTTGGGGTTGTTCATGTGGTGATCTTAGAGTTCTGAGAGCAGAGCAGAATCCCACAAAGCCACTTGAGGTCTAGGCTTGGAACTTGTTCATTGTCACTTCTGCTGCACTCTGTTGGCCAGAGCAGGTCATGAAAACAGCCTAGCTTCCAAGGGTGGAGAATAGACTCCACCTTTTAATGGTTAGGATTGCGAGAGCATGGATGCAGGGGCAGAAGAACTTGTGGCCATGTTCTCACTCTACCTCTCAGACTCTCTGACTTCCATCAGCTGGGAGAGCTGATAATTGAGGTCATTGCCTTGCTGTGAATGAGCTATGAGAAATCTTTTGAATTCAAAGTCAACATTTGTGGGGGTGGGGGATCAGGTGCTTTCTCAAGTATTATTTAATTGAAACCTCATGGCAACTCTTATTTTCCTTTCCTATTTTACATATGAAGAAACTGGAGGAGCATAGTGAGATTAAGAGACTTGCCAAACCAGGGTCACTGGGTGGTAAACCTGGTATTTAGACTGTAACTGGTCTGGCTGCAACTGCCATTGTATCATTTCGATGATATGAGGCTGAGAAGATTGTGTTGGTAGTGCTGCATTCACTGCCATAGCCACCACTTTGCAGGTGGCTCTTATGCTTGCGCACAGGCAGCCTCATTTCCCTGCATCCAGTGGGCTTCCTGCTCTTGGGGTGGGCCTGAAGAGCACTAGAGTCTTCAAGGTGGCAGTCTCACGATGCTTATGTTGTTCAGGAACCTCCTAGGCTAAGGAAAGTATTGGCGACTGTTACATTTCTCTCGGGAAAGGGTAAGACAATGTGGTCATGTTCACATGTGAGACATGTGCAGGGGATACAACATGGATAGATGGAGAAGGCCCAGAAAAAGCTGAGTCCCATGGGCAGACTGGTATTGGCGGTAGTAAGAGAAAAATACCTCCTAGATGAGCAGGCAGGGAGGTTTTGCTTTCTCTGGGGAGAGTTTGCTTGAAGCTCTAGCTTTGAGGTCTTTAAAATAGTTTTGCTGTGTGATAACCTTAGTTCTACTGAATCTGTGCACTGGGCTAAACTGACCCCCTGGAGCTTATCTGGTAGCAGGAACTGGGCTCTCAGAGCCTGGGAATGAGGAGTGAGAGCAGCAAGAAGGCACCCAGTTATCAGAACCATAACAGGGTTGGGCCTTTGATGGCATGGCTTGTGAGGAGGGCAGGAAGGTAGGACCAGACCAGATGTGAGTAGGTCTGTAGGGCTGGCTCCCACTGGGATAGTCCTGTCCAGAGTACCTAGATGAAAAGTGCAGGCCATGACATCAAACGTAGTTCATTTTGACACAAGTGCTATTGACATGTACCTTGGTGTTATGTATTAGGAAGTCTCATGTCTAGGCCTTTTGTATAATCTGCCATGTTGCCCTGACTCTGTTTTTTTATCCCTCTCCCAGAGCTCATCTCCTGTCCTGGGTGTAAGCGAGTGTATCTTACCAGGGATGTAAATGAACATTTTTTTCTGCAGTGCTTCTCTACAGGACGATCCAAGATGGCCAGGGTAAGTCAGGACAAAGAAACACCTGATCCTTTTCAGAGATCTGTGGGGCCCCTGTCCATAAGTTCACCTGTTCACCCATCACTTCACCTGACTTGTTACTCCTTCATCAATTTGCCTAATCATCTATCCACCCACCCACCCATCCACCCATCCACCCACCTATCCCTCCACTGACCTACCCACCCATCCATTCATCCGTCCATCTGTCCACCTGTTCATCCACACATCCATCCACCCATTCTTCTGCCCTTCTATCCAAAAAGTATCAAAACATTTGAATTGGGGAAAGTAAAATGAAGGTATTTTTCTTATATCTCTTACTGGAAAATATCAGTACTTTTTTCTCCCCCTGAGTTGAAACATATAAACCAGCATGAACTAAATGGGTTCATTGGTCTTGCTTGTATTTAGCAACTAATACCCTTTTCCTGAGTTTCTGAATCACTTTCTGACTAGCACCTCCCGTTCCTCTCTTCTCTGGGGTACTCTGAGGGGTGCCACTGCATTTGATCCATTTGGCCAATGTATTTACCCAATCCTGTGTCTAATTCTTATCAAATGTCTGGCACATGCTGGGCCATCTGCTGGATGCTAGGGAGAGAGATACCCATGTTCTCTACTCTCAAGGAATTCATAGTTTAATTACTAAAACGTGTGTTTCTCCCCCCCCCCTCCCCGCCGCCACCCACTGTGGGTTTGTCAGATGCCAGTAAGAGAACAATGCTGTCAGAATCCACATCATTTTGATGGCCTGTGATATTCAGGCACAGACAGACCAACTTTTTCCAAATCTCCTTTTTTACTCATGTTTTTACATTAGCCCTGCAAGATTTTTGCTGACCGAGTGAATGAACGTTTGGACCAGGAGAAGGGCTAGGTTTCCTTGGGCCCAGCAAGGAAACACGGCTCTGAGGATTGGTCTGGACTTGTCCTTTCTTGGCTGTATATCCTCCCATATCTGTGGCTTCTCCCTTTCTGCAGGCAGACTGACTTTTCGGCTTTTGCTCGTGCTCTCCCATTTCACTCCCTACTTGTCATTCTACATCCAATCAGAAGTCACCTCCTTGTGAAATATTTCCTGGCATCTCCTCAGCTGAGCACCTAGAAGTCTCCCTCTCCTTCCTTAGCACCTGGTGTGGCCTTTTATCACAGGATCACCCTCTGAATGTTGGCCACCCTGTGAGGGCTGTATGGGCCTGGGGAACATGCCTTTGCCTTACTCATTTGGGTGTCCTCATCTGTAGCATGGGACTTGGGGGAATAGTCCTTGAGGTCACTATTTATTTATTTATTTATTTATTTATTTATTTATTTATTTATTTAATATATTTTTATTGGAGTTCGATTTGCCAACATATAACACCCAGTGCTCATCCCATCAAGTGCCCCCATCAGTGCCTGTCACCCAGTCGCTACTGTTTTAGTCACAAAGGACGCTTTCCTTTGCAAGCCACCATGTGTCACTCCCAGGTGGCTCCCCAGAATTGATAGCCCTACAGGGAACACCCTATAGGATCTCCTATAGAGGCAGCTCCAAAGGAGGACATTATCAGTAACTCCAGACCTTTGTACTTTCAGAACTGCTCCGAGTGCAAGGAGAAGAGGGCAGCGCACATCCTGTGCACCTACTGCAACCGCTGGCTGTGCAGCTCATGCACAGAGGAGCACCGGCATGGCCCCGCCCCTGGGGGTCCACTCTTTCCCCGGGCCCACAAGGGACCACCAGGTACCTCTCCTGCCATCCTCACTAGCTCATGTGCACCAAAGTGGAGCTGGACCCTCAAAGTTCTGGAGAGCAGCTCTTTCTGACCTTGTTTCCCTACTGGGGGTGAGGGTTGGGGTGGTTTCAGAGCCTTTCCTGCAGGAAAAAACAGTTCATGCCAGGCTCTCCCTTATTGCGGGGGTTGAGGAGGAGGCATGAGTGTGAGCCAGATGTGCAGGGAGGAGTAGTTGTGAATTATCATGAGAGCTAGCTGAGTTCCCTACCTTCACCTCTAATTAGAGTAATCATGCCTGGCTTCTAGTTGCTTACTTGCCTAATTAAACAACCTAGATTAAGGCTCATCTCTGTGTCCATCCAGTGCCACTTCTTTTAAATGACAATCTTGTTGACAGTCTTTGCCCCCAACTTGAACTATGGGAGGGGGTTAACCTTTGTCACACCCATAGGAACCAGAGTGAATGATCCATGTGATCTGGCCTGGAGCCCCCCTCCCCCTGCCAACAGCATCCTGGCTAATGAAGAGGTTTAGGTTGAATTTTAGAGGATTCAGCACTCTGTAGGAAATCCATGTGCTGCAGCAGCAAGCACTCTCCTTAGCCTTGGGCAGGCAGTGTGTGATTTCTGGACAGCTGGATAAATCTAGCCAGGCTAAGCTTGTGTTCTTCCTTGTTCTCCTAAAGCCTCAGTGGTCCAGAGAAAGGCCTCTTCTGTCTGTACCACCTTTCCTCCAAGCCCTGTGTCTCCCCTGTGTCCATTGAGGGCTGAGGGCTGCTCAGTGGAGCTTAGCTGAGAGTCTTCCTGAGCAAGAGAAGTCCACCTTCTCTCTCTTCTCTGACAGGAGTGAGCAGTGGTTCTGGGGACTTCGCCTTGTACTGTCCTCTACACACACAGGAAGTGCTCAAGCTATTCTGCGAGACCTGTGATGTGCTCACGTGCCATAGCTGCCTCATGGTGGAACACAAAGAACACAGGTGGGGCTGGGTGACTGCTCACAGGATGCTGGGGTGGGCTCTGGACCCCGCTTTGCTAGCTCTGGGCTCCCAGTGTGTCAAAATCCTCTCTCTGCCCACGCCAGTCTGGGGCCTTGAGGCTGGAGATTTTCCTCTGCTCCCACTGTGGGGCTTCTCTGGAGGTCTGAAGGGCCAAGACTCTGCACCTTTCCTATACATAATCCTATCTTCCTTGGGCCTGGCTGAGAAAATACACTGTGGGAGTTCTTGCTTGACTGGCTTGCTCAAAAGAAGACGGAGCCCTCCTCAGGTTATTCTCTGCTTCCTCCTTTAGGTGCAGACATCTTGAAGAAGTTTTGCAAAACCAGCGGATGCTTCTAGAAAGTGTGACTACACAGGTGGCTCATAAGAAATCTACTCTACAGACATCTGCAAAGCAAATTGAGGACAGGTAACACAGACTAGCCCCTTGCCAATGCTCGAGATGCTGTGTTTACTGACATCCTGGATCTTGATACCAGGCTATCAGATATAGTACTTAGGAAAAACACTGGTTTTAAGCAGATGTAGGCATATGTCCTGGAACTTAGAAATCTTGTGGCCAGTGAAAGGGTTTTGGGTCATCACTTGGTAGATGGAACCAAGCTAGGTCAGGATAATCAGTGTGAGTTTGGGCCTAAGCACATACTTTCTGAAGATGGCCACAACATAGCCAGAGGTAGGTGCTTGAGACCGGGGGCATAAAGCAGATCATGGGTTTATCATGAGGATGCAATAAGTCAGTGGCAATCTACCTTTTATACTGCTGTCCCAGTGTCTTCCATATAAGTCTACAAATGATATGGGATTATTGATATTTAACGTGGGAAGAGAAATTAGTAGGTATTAAGAACTCATCATGTGGCAGGCACTGGGTTAGGCATCTATATGCATTATTTTGTTCAATTCTTATAGTTCTTTGAGTTGGCTTATCTCCATTGTACATGAGGAGACTGAGATTCAGAGAGGTTAAGTGACTTGTCTAAGATCACACAGCTGGTCAGTGACTCAGCTGGATTTGGAAGTTAGGTCTGTGTGACTTCAAAACCCATTTTTTAAAAACTTTACTGAGGTATAATTTATATACCATAACCTTGCCCTTTTAAAATGTACAATTCAGTAATTTTCAGTATATTCATAGAGTTGTGTAAATCATTATTATTGTCTACTCTTAGAACATTTTTATCATTCCCAAAAGAAACCCAATACACATTAGTAGTCATCCCCCATTCTCCCCAGTATCCCCAGCCCTTGGCAACCACTAGTCCACTTTCTGTCTCTACCCATGCTCTTTTTATTGCCTGGCATTGTTTAGGGGATATCCACCTTTCTAAGAGAACAGATTACATGACTCACTCTCTGTGCTACTTCCAGTGCTGTGTAACTGGTGAGCTGCTAGGTTGCCCTGAGTATGGACCTGACGTTTCCCTAGAGAAAACCTGGCTAAGCTTTAGGCCCATTTAGATGAAGTGGGCTGGGTTGTCCAAAGGTTAGAGGGGTGGAGGAAGGTTCTCATTTTTTTTTGTTTTTGTTTTTGGTGCCTACTGGGCCCTGATATTCATAGACAGCCTCTAAGTTGTTGGCTGTTATATTTGCTGTGTCTAGGGCCTCATGGGCCTGGAGGGAGGGGTTTCACCATGTTCTGTCCCCTTCTGTTTATAGGATTTTTGAGGTGAAGCATCAACACAGGAAGGTGGAAAACCAGATCAAGATGGCCAAGATGGTTCTGATGAATGAGCTGAACAAACAGGCCAACGGACTCATAGAGGAGTTGGAGGTATATATGGACAAATGAATCACACGGATGGGTCAGTGTTCTAAGTAAAAAACCAGGGACATATCAAACTAGTCCTAGCATTCAGAGCTGCCTGAGCTGGAATTAAGATGTGTAGTTTCCTTAGCTTTCTACAATTCCCTGTATCCTAAAATGTCCAGTCTATTTTGGGGAGTATGGCTCCTTAAGGGCTAGAAAGTCAGTTCAAACTCCTATCAATGCTATATGGCTATAAGGCAATTGCCTTCCTGGACTGTGCAGGCTTATAGCCTTAGAAGAGAGGGTCATGAAACAAGTTATGCCTGAGAGATCTAGACATTTGTTTGTGTCCTCATTCATTTATCACCCATTCCCTGTTTGCACTATAAAATCTACCCATCTTCTCCCTCCCTCCCTGTGTCTCTGCCACCCATGGCAGCACTCTGTTGCACTGTCATCCTCTTGGGGGCTCAGTCTCCTCTGACCCCATAAGGGTTCACACTGATACACGGGCCACCAGACTCCCCAAATAGGTGGCATCAAGTCCAAGAACAGGAAGAGGGACTCTTCCTTCTCTGTCCATACTCAGGGTATTACTAATGAGAGAAAGCGGAAGCTGGAACAGCAGTTACAGAGCATCATGGTTCTCAACCGTCAGTTTGAGCATGTGCAGAACTTCATCAACTGGGCTGTCTGCAGCAAGACCAGTGTCCCTTTCCTGTTCAGCAAAGAGCTGGTAAGAGCTCCAACTCATCAATCACTGCTTTGGGGTTAGTAAGTGAAAAGTATCTTTTACCAAACCCCACGTGCCAAGGACAGGTGCTGAAAGGGTCTTGCTTTCCTCTGGGCAAGTCAGGTGGGAAATTCTGTAGTTCTGTGTTAGGTCATGGATTCAGACATGAGCCTGGACATCAGCAGTGTTCTAGACATCCCAGAGACAGTTGTTTGGTTTTAAATGGGGTTGGAGGGAAGGAGTATGATGTTGAGGTATTGGGTTTGTGAGGATGGTGAAGACTAGGAGAAGGAGCAAGAATTTTGAAAGAAGTTAGTGGGGTTTATATTGTGATATGTTGAATCTAAGGTGCCTGTAGGGCATCGCAAAGGAGATGTCTAAAATTTCTATCGATTGATAGGTCTGGAAGTCAGAAGGAAAGTCAGGGTTGGAGATAGAGAGGGGGAGTCACTGAGGTATTGGTGGTATCACCTAGGAAGAGTTTGTGGAAGGAAGAAGAAGACATCTGAGACTGAGGAAAATACTATAATTCTCAGCATAGACAGAGGAAGAAGAATGAAGGAGGGTGAGAAGCACAGTCCAAGATGGATTGCAGGAAAAGTAGGAGGGGGTGGTACACAGAAATTAGCAGTTTCAAATATCAAGTGATCAATTTGATCATTGCTCTCTAGGTGAAAGAGGATGAGCAGTGAAGAGAATTCTTGAGATCTGGGAATCAGGAGGTCCCTGGTGATATTTTGAAAGAAATTCCAGCAAAATGAGAGGGTGAAAATCTAGAATGAGGGGAGGAAGTAGAAACAGAAGTGAAAAGAAGGGAAATGAGGTAGCTTGAGAAGAAAACAGAATTGGGAGATTGATTTTAAGTATGGAAGACATTTGCACAAGTTTATTTGGGAGAAGAGGTTGATGATAGAGATATGTGGTGGAGTGAGCATACTGAGAAGGCATAGAGATGTAGGATGGAGAGTGAACCAGCTGACCCTACACGTAAAAAGTACTTCCTCTGAGGAGGGAGGACAGGAAGGTCTCCATATGATGTTTGGAGGTAGGCAGTGTACCAGTTTGCAGCAGTTTGTCTTTTGGATCCCTTTTCTTCACTGAAGTAGGAGGTGATAGAGCTAGGTGCTAGGTAAGTGGAATTGAGAAGAGAAGTGAGGACTTTAGTCGTCAAGGACAGTAGAAGAGGAGGAAGCCAGGGAGAAAAGAAGTGATAAGAAAAAGAATGGCGGGGTGCCCCCAAGGTTAGTGAGCACTGAAGCAACCCCAGATAAAATGGCTTCGGGATGGCTGGATTGACTTTAGGCTACCGGACGACGGTGAGATGGAGGGGCTTAGGCCCTAGTGATACTGTTACAGCTCATCAGGCCCCAGGGGGCTTGGGGAGTTCTGTAAGGCTGGAGAGTGCACTCAGAAAGAGCAAGAGCTAGTTGGAGCTGGGGGCAGTCGTTGCAGATGAAGGTCTCTAGATGAAGCAAAGGTCTGGGTATGGTGCCTGAACTGGAAAGGGAGATGAAGGTGATTGACACTAAGGAGATGCAGAAAGGAGAGGCCAAGATGGTGACCAGGACATTGGTAAACTAGGCTGATGGCAGGGTGAGTTGGATGCTTGCCAAAGTCCTAGATACAAGGGAGAGTTCATGATAGGAGATGGATGCAAGTGATGAGGGAGGAAGAGGGTGGTGGATGACAAGGGCAGTTTTACATGTGGGCAGAAGGACGGAAGTGGGGAGTTCTGAGAATGTCTACCACCGTAGGCTTTTACATTGAGGTTTTGGTAGAATGAATGGAACTCCTGAGAGGGCTGCCAGGTGATAGCCTGAGAATTATAGACCATTCAAGGCCCCAAAAAGATAAGGGTCTAAACCCGGCTAAGAGGAAGGGGATCACCTGGTGGGGGAAGGGACAAGAGCAGGGGAAAGGATATGAAGCTACCAAGGTGCAAAGAAATGAGCATATGAGGGACCTGAGGCTAAAGACCCGTGGCTCTGAGCCCTTCAACCTGCCTGAAGAGTGAGGGAGAGGGAGTTGTCATTCAGGTGCAAGATGCCCAAAGAAATGACCTTTGGTGCTGTTATCAGATTGTGTTTCAGATGCAGCGATTGCTGGAGGCAAACTGTAACACAGATCCTGGCTCCCCCTGGAGTATCAGATTCACCTGGGAGCCTAACTTCTGGACCAAGCAGCTGGCTTCCCTTGGTGAGCCAGAGCCCACCCTGTGGGCTTTTACATAATTGCGAAAAATGAATAAAGCGTGTCTGCTTAGCTCACTGGGTGGGTCAGCATATGCCCAAGAGAAAGCACCCCCTGAGACTCCCAGTGGTCATGGAATCATTCAGCAGACCTGTGTGTGTGTGTGTGTATGTGTGTGCATGCATGTGTGGGGGGCGGGGGGTTCGGAAGGAGGGGACAACTTAAATAGCAATGGCAACACAGGACTTTTGTAACAGGACCAGTTGAAATCTGAGCTTTCCATTCTGCATGAATGCCCTGTTACCTTGGTTTCATTGCTGGAGAGGAAACAAGATAGAGGCCCTGCTCTCCAGAATGCTGGATGGCAGTGCAGGTGAATCTGTGTCTCTGTGGTCCTACAAGGGTATTCGTGTGTGTAGGCACAAAATGGATATCAGCATTGGGGTGTGGAGTGGGGAGGGAGGCAGAAGGGCAGTGTCAACATCTCTTCCCTGCCCAAAGCTGAGATGCAAGCACATAATTCCTGAGCTACCCTGCTGCAGTGATTTCCTGGTGTTCAGTCTTCAGGTGGAGTGTAGACAACTTGTAGCTGTGCCTGTGTTGATGGCCCCATGTAGGTTTGTTAAGCTAATGACCAACTGCTGCCTTGTTCTGGGTTGTTAAGGTCTAGGAAAGCTTTTTGAACTTGACAGAGTAAAGAATAAAATTTAGGTTGAGGTTTTGCTCCCCTTTTCCCTTTAATTTAATTCAGTAGACTTTTGGTGGGCCCCTGCTGGGGTCAGCACCCCATACTGGTCACTGAGGTACTTAGGTGAACAGAACACACCTCTGGCTCTCGAGCTGCTGAGTCTTTCCCTCAGTAAGCCTCATCAAAACAAGCAGCTGAAGAAGCTGTGAGACTGAGCTAGGGATAGATATTGTCTACTCATAGGCCAGGGTCTGGAGACCTCAGGACAGTGCTAGTATTGCCCCTGACCTGATGTTGGAGCTCCCTTACTCCTTACATCCTCCTGGCCCAAAACATAATGCCTCACACGTGTATTTGGAGACTTGGTCATTTATCCCAGGGCCGGCTCTCTTTCCTTTGTGACACTCCAGCATGCTACCTCCCCATACCCAATGTTGATTTTTTTTTTTTTTTTGGTCTGAGTCTGTGTTTGAAAGCAGTGGGTACTATTTAAAGGAGCCTATGATTTCTCTAGTGGGATACAAACAGTGAGGACTAAGCATCTGGAGAAAGCTGAGCTAATTTCTCAAATGTCTCTGGTCCCCAAAGGTCCATGTGGGTTCTATTGCTGGTTCAGCGTTCTAGACTGAATCTTGGAGATCAGGGGTGGGATTTCCCAGTCAGGAGTTGAAATGCTAATTGTAACACACCTGGTAAAGGTTTATTGCATGGTGTCCTTTGGTCCCAAGAGCAGGAAGTGGGGAACAGCTGCAGATACCTTTGGAAAACACTCTCTCTTCTGAATTTTCAGGCTGTATAACTACTGAAGGTGGACAGCTGTCCCGGGCAGATACTCCTGCTTATGGAGGCTTACAGGGACCATCATCCTTTTATCAAAGCCACCAGTCCCCAGTGGCTCAGCAAGAGACTCTTAGCCACCCCTCACATAAGTTCCAGTCTCCAGCACTGTGTTCTTCATCTGTGTGCTGCTCCCACTGCTCCCCAGCCTCGCCTTCCCTCAAAGGCCAGGTCCCCCCACCCAGCATACACTCAGCCCACAGCTTTAGGCAGCCCTCAGAGATGGCACCCCAACAGCTAGGCTCTCTGCAGTGCTCTACTCTCCTGCCCCGGGAGAAGGAGCTGGCTTGCAATCCGCAGCCACCAAAGCTGATGCAGCCCTGGCTGGAAACCCAGCCCCCCGTGGAGCAGGAGAACACATCCCAGCGGCTGGGGCAACAGCCGACTTCCCAGCCAGTATGCATTGTGCCCCCGCAGGATGTTCAGCAAGGAGCCCATGCCCAGCCCACCTTACAGACACCCTCTATCCAAGTCCAGTTTGGCCACCACCAGAAGCTGAAGCTCAGCCACTTCCAGCAGCAGCCACAGCAGCAACTGCCACCTCCGCCACCTCCGCCACCCCCACACCAGCAGCAGCCACTGCCACCTCTACCTCCATCCCAGCATCCAGCTTCTAGTCAGCATGGGAGCCCTCCTGGGCCTGCCTGTTCCCAGAACATGGATATAATGCACCACAAATTTGAGCTGGAGGAGATGCAGAAGGACCTGGAGCTTCTTCTTCAGGCTCAACAGCCCAGCCTACAGCTGAATCAGACCAAATCTCCTCAGCATCTTCAGCAAACCATTGTGGGGCAGATCAACTACATTGTGAGGCAGCCAGCACCCGTCCAGTCCCAGAGCCAAGAGGATGCTGCACAGGTGAGCCTCGCGGTGGCTCAGGGCATATGTTCTCCCTGTCCTGGGACCACTCAGCAAACAAAGCTACTCCCCACCCTCCCCCAGCCACAAGGGAGGCCCAGGAGGGTGGCCTTGAACTCAGAACTCACATTTCAAGTTCTTCTGGGCTCCACTGCCCATCTCAGGAAAGCTCCAGAAATCACAGTACTTTGTCCCAACAGGGATCTGGGCTCCATACTCTCCAGAGTGGCCTGGCTTAGCCATGTCCTTCTAGATGACACTAAGGACCTTGTCCATCAATAGAACCTTCTGAGCTGTGTTAGACTCCTGCCACCCCCAGGACAGAAGGGAGGCTGCCTGTTATCTATGTAACCTCTCACTTCCCTTGCTGGGAACTTATGAATCTTAGATGGGAGGGGAGAGCTTAAGGAGTGGAGCAAAGGTATACATTAGATGCTAGTGGGTAACATCTTTATAACACCACACAGCTATAGACTTAAGTTTTGCTTCAAACCTCCTAAGCTAGGTATGTTTTATATATACTATATCATTTATCCTATCAGTAGTATTAGATAGGCTATGTCATCTGTTATTTATAGGCACAGATTTGGGGGTCTGGGAGGGCAGGCACTTTGCCTAGAGATCATAAAACATTGAGTGACAGAACCAAAACTTCGATCTGGGTCTGCTGACTGTAATTCCTAGGAGAGGCCTTGTTTTCTCCCTGGAGGGGTGATGAGTGCTGCTCCTCTCTTCTCTCAGCTAAGAGCCAATTGAGGAGGTACAGATTGTACCTCCGGGATCTTTGCTGCATTCCATGTCTTCATCTGTAACTCGTGCCTTTCTTTTTTTTCCAGAGTTTCTCATCCTAGCCCCTTCTCCCTATCCTTTCTCACCTTTCCCCCAGTGGTGTCTCCTTTAAATCTGTAATCACATTTATATCTTCAAAGCACCTTTATGGACTTTAACTTTATTATAAAATATAAGGCCTCACATTTATGCTTTAGCACTGACAGTGTCAGATCATGCTTCAAATGTCTCCCTCTGAGGCTCAGTTCCTTTGAGGAGATAGCAAATCATCCTGATGATGGCAGAGAAAGGTCTAGGGTTCACTGAGTCCCACAGGCAAAATGTATGTCAGAAGTGTTAGGATTGCTAGGGTGAATATGACAGTTAGCCCAGAATTCTTGGTTTCGGTTTTATCCTAAGACTGTCATACTAGGATGTAGTTTCCTGAAGAATTTAGATAAGAGTATCTTCCTTTCTGAAAAATTTTCTAGCAGTTCACAATGTGTATGGAGTTGGTGACAATGGGCAATGAAGGATGGGCATCCGTCTTTGCTGCTGCTACTGCTCTTTGCCATAAAACCCACCCAAGTTCTTATTTTCTCCTTCAGGCTTCGGATGAGCACCCCACATCTGAAGGTCCAAAGCCGCCTCTCCCACTTGACAAGAATACTGCTGCTAACTTGCCCCAGGCGTCTGGGGAGGAAACCCCTCCTGGTGTCCCCCCACCAGACGGCACCATCCCGCACTCCTCTCCAAGTGTGGTGAGAAAGGTACTAATGGAGCCTGCTTTCCATGGCCATGTGGGACCCACTGCCAGCCAAGAGCCCAGGGAACCGGATGAGGATGACTGGTGGGGGGGCGGAGTGTCCCTGTTCCATCCCTGGATATTACACAGCCCTGACTCATGTCTTTTATCCTAATGAGTCAGCAACCTAGGTCCTGCTTCATGCCCAATTCCCATTCCCACTGAATATGGGACCAATTGGCCTTCATTTAGAATGGAAGGGGAAAGTAGAAGGGAAAGAAAGCCAATTTATTACACACTTGCACTGCGCTTAGCATGGTGCATGGGGCATTGCGGTTCTGTGAGGTGGCTGTCCCCACTTTCTAGCCAAGGAAACTGAGGTCCAGGGCCCTATAGCTAGTGGATGAAAGGGCTGAGGGTTATTTCAAATGAAATTTGTCAGAATCCAAAGACCAACTGTTTTTCCTCTGCAACAAAAATGGGGAAAATATTTTATGTGACTGCACAATCCAAAGGTGATTGGTTTTAGAATTTGAATCAGTGGGGTTTGTTGGGTGAACAGCCTGCAGGAATGTCCCGCAGAGGTAGCTGAGTGGCTAAGGATACTGAGAGCTCTTGAAGAGAAGCTACTGGAGCCTTTCATGTCCACCAATGCACCTGCTTGCTAGAAATATTAATTTACTTGGCAACAGCTCAGAATGCCACAACTCCTCGGCTGTGCTCCCATTATCCCTGCCCTTCACCCTTATCTCTGTCATCCTCCTAGCTGGAACCTCACTGATGTGTTGTGCCCTTTCTGTATCCCTTGGCCCTGTCCCACTGTCTTGTTGTCTTCTCTGGCTTGGTACCCTCAGGCTGTTGGGCACCTCCTATCAGCCCTGTACTTGAAGCTGTGTCAGCTGTTTGATGCCCCCCAGCCTGCACACTCAGCTCTGCACATGGCTCTGACTCTGCATCCCTGGTTCTGCAGCTCTTTTGTATATCTGCCCCTCACCATGCTTCCCCTAGCACCATTGCCACATATCTTAGATCAGTCTATCCCAGTGATACTTGAGAAGAGACTTCAGAAAAGTAGGGATGGCAAAAATGAAATGGTAACTTGGAAATCCCTGGTGGCTCTTGAAGTCTGGCTAGGCCTCTGGTATTAGTGGATTTTGGTCTGTGCTGGGCCCATCCGGCCCTGTTGAAAGCCATTTGGTCTAGAGGCCCTAGAGATGCTATAAGTAGGCCCTTTGTGGCTCTCAGGGGGTTTAACTTTTTATACTTAGGCTACTTACTTATTCCATCCATCCAGTTATTTACTCACTCAATGTTCAAAAAATATATATTCATATCCTAGTGTGTGCCAGCTGTTTTGCTAGGTGTCAGGCACATATCAGCGAATAAGAGTGTGACATTAGAGCCTATGGTCTAGTAGGAGAGACAGTTAAATAAGTAATGACAACAGATGTGATAAAGTGCTGGGATAGTCATTGGGGTGCAGAGAAGGAGCAGGTAACCTAGAAGAACCCCTCACAGAGGACTTCCCAGGGGACCTGATTTTAAGCAGAGATTTGAAGTAGTTAGGCTAGTGAAGAGGGATGATGAAGAGGGCTAGAACGAATAATCAAAGGGAATGGCTAGTAAGAGGGTCCAAAGTGAGAGAAACCCTGGGGCCCTTAGAGGGGTTTCAGATAACTTGGCATGGTAGGAACATGAGGTGTACTAGGGAATGGAGCCAGAGTGCTTGGAAAGTCTTGTAAATGATGTTCCAGAGTTTAGCATTTGGTCTTGGGGTTGTGAGGAGCAAATGAAGGATTTCTAGCAGGGAGGGACACGGTTTGAATTCAATTTTAGAAAGGTCACTTCAGCTGTAGGAAGGGAGACCAAAATAGTACAGACGAGAATCAGGAGTGGTTGAATGGAATCAGTAACACTGGGTTTAAGGAGGAAGCATGGACTTCAAGAGATCAGATCACAGGAGTTTTTGGACTTGGAGTCTGATTGGTAATGGGAAGCAATGGAGAGAAGGTCCTTTGGCTTGACACCCAGGTCTGTCTTGCCCACTGGGTTGCCATTCATAGAGATGGGAGCGTGGGAAGAAGGGCCTATTTGGGGGGAGGAAAAAGTTAAATTTGAATTGTTGGTGGTCTCCTGTGGAAGCTACATAAGAAGGTGACCAGAAAGCAGCTAGCTCTAGATGTCAGTAGTTCAGAAGGCACCATGGGGATTGCCAGTGCTCAAGTGGTAGTAAGAAGCGCTACAGAAAATACCGCTGCTTGTTTCACAGGTCTTGATTCTGTTCCTACACACATTACAAAGGAAAGAGGTGATCCATGTGCAGGCATGAAGTCTGTGCTGCCTGTGCAAGTGGCCCACAGGGCTCTCTAAGCATCAGGGGCATGCTGCCCTACTGTGTGGCTACGGATTGGCAGTGGGGCTAGTGAAGGTCCCAGGAACTCTTATCTTCTCATTTTGAGCTGGTCCTGGCCCTTACTAAACTGGGCTAATGCAGAAGTTCAGAGGGGCAGGTGGCCTGGCCTTTCCCTGATGTTTTATAGGCTTATTCCTGGCTTGGACTCCCCTTAAAAGGAACCTCAGTATTGTCATCCTGGCTCAGAGGATCCTTTGGGTCTTCTTGACTAAGAGAGATACTGATTATACACAAAGCTACTGAAATAAGAAACAGGGCTTTCTCAGTGCCTTGAAGCTGGGATTGGGCATGATGAGGGTGTGAAGATTGAGGACACTGAACAACGTTTTGAGCAATTTATCATTGAATGATAACACTTTGTGTAGTATTTTTCTACCTGTTCCTATAGGTTTTTACATGGATTATTCCATTTTATCTCTGTTTATCCTAGAAGTACTATGAGGAGGCCACTTTCATATTCCCCTTTGAAAGATGTGGAAACTGAGACACAGAGAGGTTAAGTGACCACCTAAGAGCTATACAGCAGAGTATTGGCAAAGTTAGGACCAGAGCACAGGTTCTTGACCCTGCTCATGTTCAGGGGCTAGGTTAGATCGCCTCTCCTTGTGCTCTGCAGTGAGAGAAGCAAGACTCCATCTGGCCTTTCACTTGCTGGATTTTTCCTCTTTACAATCATTGGCATAGCCTGAGGCCCTGCCGGGGAGAGGGCTTAGAACCCAGCCTCTTCTGGTTATCTCTATCTGGTAAAGATATTTTAGCCTCCAGCCCGCTCCTAAGCCTGTGACGGCCTACTGAGTACCGGGGAAGTCAGAGGTCTACGTGAAGGCCATGGACCAGAGGAAGCTGTGGCATCAGGTGCTTCTCTGCGTTCCACAGGGACTCACTCACACTCTGAGCTGCAACTGACCTTACATCGCCATGAAGAGAACTTTGGTGATAGCACAGCAGCTGTGCACATTTCTTTCAAGTTGATGCTAACTGAACTGAAAGTGAGATAGGAAAGTTTTTGGACGGGCTTGAGCTCTGCAGTCTCAGAAGCAGCTTCCCCTACTACCTTCCCTGCATCCAGCAGGGTGTTTTGGAATGAATTTTTTACGTCTGTCCCTCACAGTTGCCTAATTTTGGCTTAGCCACTCTGAAGAGAGACCACGGTTGCAGCACTACAACAGAATGTCTTACATCCTAAGTGAAACTGGAAAACAGTTTGATGGCTTCATTTTTTACTTCTGAACAAGTCAACTGATGAAAAACACACACACTCTCTTCCTCAAAACTCTTGTGGAGGCGAGGCTGTAGGCACCACAGAGAGCCTGTCGAAGCCCTAATTTAACTGCAAGGGGAACCTCTTTTCTGCTCACATGTCCATATCCTCCACAGAGCACCGAGAGACCACCAGGATGCTTATAGCTTCAGAGGAGTCTGAGATATATTTTTAGTAAATGATGTCTAAGCATAGGCATTCCTGTGGTCCACATTAGTGAGAATGACGCAGAAGAGGAAGAGATAATGACTCACATGAAAGAGCATTTACATCATTATCCAAGCCCTTTGATGCCTGAGCTTGTAATTTGATTCTTACAACTCAGATTTACATTAACCTGTGGAGGAGGAAATTAAAGCCCAGAGATGGGAAGTATCTTGCTTAAACTCCTACCCTAAATCTTAGCTTAAGTAAGGAAATGCTGGGCATCCTGCCTTCACAGTCTCCAGATCCACAGCTGTGGGCCAGATCGTGACTCTCGACTCCAGCAATGATTATGTCCTCATAGCCTGGCCTCAACAGCAGAATTTGCTCAGAATCTTCCCAGGGCCTTGAGAGGCTTTCTTAGGGCATGTCTGTGTTCTGGTCAGCAATGACAGAGCTGTACAGAGATCTGCTCTGTCCTCAGGAACCAAGCCAAGTATTCCCCAGGTCTGGCTCCCTGAATTTTACAGCCTCTAGGAAGGCTCTTTCCTCTGTTCTGGCCTGATTTCACTCAGACCAGATCCAGGATCTTTGTCTAAGTCTCCTGGTCCATGAGAAAATAGGACTCCTGGGCCTTAAATTTCCTTACATTGCCCTGGCCAAAATAACTCTGGTCTAAGTCTCCTGAGTCTCCAAGGCTTGGGTTTTCAGGGTTCCACTCATTCTGGCTTTTACTTCAAAGTTACTGGAATCCACTTATTCCTTTCTTCTTCCTTCCATCTCAGACTCTGGGATCCTCTTTGCTTTTTCTGTCTTTCCTGAATCATCAGGGCACTGGGCACTCTTTAGTTCTCTCTTCACTACCCATGAAAGTTTTCCCATTTGACTCTGGTCAGTTAGCATATATTACCATGGTTACATGCACATGGTTAATTTGTACAAGAACTTTTCATCGAGGTAGGGGAGCATTTGCTGTTGTCAATAAGAGCAGTGAGTTTGCTATTTAAGATCAACGTGGGAACACACTTGCTAGGAAAGCTATCACTTCCTCGGGTATCTGATTCAGTTGTTTGAAGATCTACTACTGTTCAACCAGTCTACCTGATGTGCAGTTATTGAAACACTCAAATCTGTTTACCTCAATCCTTGTCTCCTTATCTGTTTCCTTCAACCAGAGTGGAGGCCTTCAATGTGTTTCCAGGACACA